CAGTAGTTGAAGTTAAACTTGAAAGCTTGCTAGATTCATAGGATAACAAAAGTAATTCAGTTTTACATTTGCTATCCTATGAACCATGATCTTCAATGTTGAATGTTGAAGTAGCTTGTTGCTTGATATGCACTTGATTTCGCAAAGATGTGCAGCACGACAGAGTGTGCCGAGTCTAAGGACATTCGACTGTGTCAGGATGACATGTCCAGGTAGTCGGACGTACGGCAGCTGGTACTCGGCCGTGAACGGCAGCGTCGGCGTCAAATGTTTTTGGAGCTGCGCCGCGAGCGACTGGAACGGCATCTCTTTGCACTCAAACACGCGCTCGAGCGCGTCGTCGTTCACGATGACGCGGCAGTCGTCGATGTGCAAGAGGTCCTTCATCTTGATATAGTCCCACGCCGCCTTGAGCACGTCCTGGCGCGTCTGGGCCTCGGGCGATGCGTGCGCCAGATGCGGCGCCAGCGCAGCTAACAAGTCGGGCGAGAGGTTGAAGCGTTCGGGGGAGAGCTGCCGCACGAGCTGGAGTCGCAGCGTGTGCTCGGAGACGCCCGCTTTGCCCGGGCGCGTCACTTCAAACCCGTCCGACTCGTCACCCGAGCGGAACGATGACCACTGCATTCGCGATGAGGACATGGTGATGGAAGATGGTGTTACCTCGGTCGTCGTGTTGGGCTGCGGGTACATGCGCTCGTCCAGCTCGACGATGGCCTTGCGGAAGAAGTGCGAGAACGTCTTGGAGCACGGTAAGCCACCTTCGATCGACGCCTGCACGCGAAAGGTCCATTGCCCCGCGTTCTTGTCGCTTGCAGTGTCGGCGACGATCGCGCTCGGGTCGTGCGAGTACGTCATTGTCACCACGAGCGTGGCCTTGGTCATCTACACACAAGAGCATCGGCGAAAGCACTTGTGGCGCTGGCTACCTTTGGCGGTGCTTGCGCGAGCGCCTCGAGCCGCCGAAGGTTGCGGTGGATGGTGCCCGAGACGTGGTCGTCCATGGCCTTGAGCTGCTTCAGCGTCGCATACTGCTCGGGGTCGACCGACTCGACCTACGCTCCATGAGATGCTGCCATGGGTGCCATGGGCCATGGGCGCACCTCGCGAAGCAGCGCGACCGCCCTCCGCTTGCGGCTGCTGCTCTCCTCGGCCATCGCACCTGGTTTCCGTAATCCGGAAACACATAAATATTATCCGGACCTCCGTCTTGCAGTTTCGCGCAAATGGCCGAGCCCGCGGATACGATGGGGCTCCTCGAGCAGACGACCGCGGACCCGCGGAAGCATGGCGGACGATCTTGGTCGACGCATGGGCTCTGCTGCGTGAGGTCGATGCAGGGAGTATGCTGTGGCTGGTCGACGCATGGCGGTTCCTGCGCGAGCATGCAGCTGGTCGCGAAGGGGCTGCAGCTCCTCGAGCGGTCTCGGGTCCTGCACCTTGCCGCGCTGGGCCTGCGCCCCCGGCCGCAGCACCTGCCCAAGCCTCGCGACGGTCTTCTTCTCCATACGTACATCCCGCAGATACGCATTCTTGGCACTGACGCGCTTCGGAACGACCCGATGGTGGTGCACCCGATCGTGCTTGTCCATCTCGTCGACGTCTCGACGGGCTGCTACCTCATGAAGTTCGACCGTCAACGACCAGGTGTCCATGCGCTAGAGCCCGTGACGATGCTCCAGGGCGCGCTCAAGAAGCATACGATGTGCGACTACATCTTGCCGATCGCGACGCAGCCGTGTCCCTTGTCACCCAACGGCCAAGGTAGAGTTCGGCTGCCCCTACGATGGCATCCACCCCGCGCTAGACAGTCCAACGTGGAACGAACTCCTGCTCGTCAACGACGCCTACTCGCATTATCTCCGGCCCGAGACGCTTCTGCTGTTTGAGGTGGTCGACTTTACGCCGCAAACGAGTCTGCTCCCGGTACCTAGCTTCCTACACACTTTGTTAGCTTGGAACTTGGCGTTATCTAGGGCAATGCGAGCTATTACACGGTCGCGTGGGGCTTTTGCCGACCGCAGAGTCCACTCGGCAGCTACAACATTCCTCTCGCGCCCGACGAGACGACGACCCATCGCATTCAGCTGTACGAGTACCAGCCAACGTCGTGGCTCATCGACGCGCAGACCAAGCGCATGCGACCAGACACGAATGCGCCGCCCCAACCACCCGTGTACTTTCAGTATCTACGCTATCGGCGGCAGTCGTACCCGTGCACGCTCCACGTCTCCTTTGGCATGCAGCTCGAGCCACCATGGACGCAAGGTACCAGCGACTTGCGGCTGGATTACGATGTGCTACAGCGTCGTAGGGGAGCACCGCGCCATGTTTGCCCATGAGCAAGAAGTCGGTGAGCGCGAAGACGACGTGCCGCTGCAGGAACTCGACAAGAAGCACGTGCTCCAAGCAAAGTCGGGCGGGCATTTACCCATCGCGAGCGTGCGCGACTCGTTCTCCATGAGCGCCGTTCGTATTCTCTTGTACCAGCCACGTTTCACAAGACGCGTTTTGGTCGTGTAGGAGCACCTCATGGCATTCCCCAGCGTGCACTGCAAGCGGTACCCGAGCGAGTTTTGTCTAGTGCCGGAACGCATCTTGCACCGACTCCACAGCGGCGACGGCGGCTGCCAATCGGTCGCGTTCTCGCATGCCGGCTCCCACCTCGCCGCCGCCTGCTGCGACCGGCACGGCGAGTACCCGATTCGGCTCTATCACATCGACACGGGCGTTCAGGAGGCGGTGCTGCTCGGCCACCAAGCATTGGTCTATGCCATTACGTGGTCACTGGACGACGAGCATCTTCTCAGCGCGTCGTCCGACGGTAGTGCCAAGCACTGGCAGGTGTCTCCGTATGTAGCCTTTGAGCTTTTGATGCGAGGTCACTGCATGGAATATGGTAGGCCTGCACTGCTCCACTCGTTTTACCACCCACTGCCCAACTTTGTCTACTGCGTCGAGTGGTGCTCAGGCCGCCTTGGCGCAACGGGGGCGCTCGATGGGTTTGTTCGTCTCTGGGACCTCGGGTTTGAAGCGCAGAGGTGGTTTGCGATATTCAAACGGCGGTAGGCAAGGGCGGCCGATCGCCAATCTGCACCCGGCCCACACAGTTCGCGTCAACGCGATACGTTTCGAGCCAAAGTCCCAACGCCTCTTCTCCGGGGACGCTGCGGGTATCATTTGTGTGTGGCAACCCAAGTACGTTCCGCTTGTCGCTTCTCGAATCGTATCGTAAAGCGAGAGTAGAGGCGCATCGTTTGAGCTCGTCAAGACGCTCAAGCACCACGATTTGATGGGCAAATGCATCACGAGCTTTCAGCTGCATCCCAAGCGCATCCAGCTCCTCGTGCAAGCGCAGCCGAATACGCTGCTGCAGTTCGAGTTGCGCTCGTACTTGGTTCTGAACAAAGGGTGCAGCGGCCTGACGGTGCGAATATTGCTCGGTGGCGTTTGCTTAGTGGCTGTAGGTCACGTCGGCAATGGTCAAGAGCGCGTTTAGCCCCGACGGCCGCTTTGTTGCGAGCGGCTCGGAAGACGGTGCAGTGTACGACATCAAACAGCCATACACATTTGTAGTCAGATGCTATGCATAGGTACCTCTACTCGAGCTTGAACGGACGGCGCATTCCAAGCTCGATGTGGGGCGGCATCTTTTACGGCGACCCGCTCTGCGACGTGACATGGTCGTCGAGCGCTCATATTGCGGCCCTGTGCTCTCTGGGTAAACCGATTGCATTTTATAATGACCGATGCAAGGATGATCATGTTGATAGGAAGCGGCAACCCCATCATTGTCCTTGGCGCACGCCGGGACGACCTTCCAACCAAAGACAGTGCCGTCGTACGCACCTCTATCTCTCATGTTCAATGCAGTCACAGTAAACACTAGGCGGACGAAGAGAAGAACGATCAGCAGCATCTCCAGCGGCGCCAGAAACGCCTTGCCGAGCATGTAGGGCCATCTCTTGCTGCGATACAGAACGATAAGATGGCTTGTGTAGGTGGCGACGCTGCTGGCGCAGGACGGGCGGCAGCCACTTGTACCTGAGAAGGCCTAGCTGCACACCACCGTTTGCGCTTGATGTATATTCTGGTAATGGAGCGTGTGCTTTGCTGTGGCAGACGAAAGGGCGACTAGGG